CCAAGGCAGATATTTTTTGTGCTCAGCTCAACATTTCTCATCTTGAGTGGAAAAGTACCAGATATAAAATGGGTTCTAGCATTACGTACCCTGATCCCATGTCTTTGTAGGGCCAACCACAGGTTGTTCTTACAGGAAAAACAAAAACTATTCACAGGTTTTCGATCACCCAACCATTAAGGGTGTGTCTAGAGTGCAGGCTTTTTTTTAAAAAAGAGGACCCACCCAGGGGCTCCAAAAAGTGGGCACCAGCCTGGACAGGGCCTGAAATAAAAAAATCTCCTGGAGCTCTGATCTCATGAGGAAACCCTGCAGGCCCTGCAGTCACACCGCAGGAACACAGACCTATATGAGCGCATGGCCCAGGGACCCGCCCATGTCCAGCCAAGAGAGAAAGCAGTGGAACCTCCCTTTCAAGCAGCTGAATACGCATTCCACCTCAAAAAAAAGAAAAGAAATGTATTTGGGGCTAAACCAAACATTTTGTTTTGACACAATAGAAACATTGCATTTCCATTTTCAAAAAAATATGTAAAAATGGTTGAAAAGTGAAGATTTTCAGAAAGAAGCATCATTTCCATTTTTTTCACAGCATCTTTAATGAAAAATTTGGCAAAATCAGCACACTTCCACAAAATCTTTTCATGTCCTCAAATTTGCATTCTTCACCAATATCAATTCAGCCCAAAAGTTCACCCCCATGCAGTTGTATTAGTCTGTAGTGTGTTAGGCAGAGCAGCCTCTTGGTAGTATTTTGTATAGATTGAGGGATGGGAATGAATCCTCGCATTTTAATTTACTAGGTTGAAAACCTTAGGAAAAATCCTTGTTTACAGCCTATGTAACACAATGCTCATTATAGGTTTAATGAGACCACAAAGAATTACATTTGCAATGAGTATTGAAACAAATTACTTGTAAGGCATAACTATCTTTTGTCATCAGAGTGTGGGATGGTTAAGCACCAGTGAATGACTAAAGCTTTGTCACTTAATTGCCAATGTAAACAAAGCCTAAGAAACCAGTTTCATGAGAATGTTGTTCTTAAGAATCCTGGGCCACATTTTTTACAGTATTTAGGTGTCTAAAGAGGAAGATAGTGACCTTGGCCTTTTTTCACTTAGTGCCGATCTCCCATTGGAAATGATAGGTATAAGGTGCATAGGTGGTTTTGAAGAGCTCAATAGGCACCTATTTGCCTCCTGAAGTGCCTAAACCCTATCGCATTCTGGCTCATACAGATGCAAATAGCCCATTCAGCACCATGGACAGAGTCCCATCTTCTTCCCATTCCTGTAACTTCTACTAAAATATAGAATCATCAAATCCTAGAATGGAAAAGGACCTCGAAAGGTCATCAAGTCCAATCCCCTGCTCTCACAGCAGGACCAAGCACCATCTAGATCATCCCTGACAGGTGTCTCTGTAACCTCTAGTGATGGAAATTCCACAACCTCCCTAGAGAATTTACTCCAGTGTATAACCATCCTAACAGTTAGGAAATATTTCCTAATGTCCAACCTAAACCTCCCTGATGAAATTTAAGCCCATTGCTTCTTGTCCCATCCTCAGAGGTCAAGGAGAACAATTTTTCTCCCTCCTTCTTCTAACACCCTTTTAGGTACTTGAAAGTTGCTATCATGACTGTTATAGGCACCACAATATTCCATAAAGCACAGACTTTCAAAAGAGGTGGACAAAGGATGAGGTTTACAAAGGTTCTGAGAATGCAGAGAGGCTCCTACTAAGATTCAAACACACCCCCAAGTGCCTTATATCCAGTGATGTCCAACAGGATTTGCGTGCCTTTGAAAAATCTCCCCCAAAGTGATCAGCTCTTGTGGGGATGGGATCTCTAGATAGAGACTGTGGAGGGGAGAAGTAACAGGCAGGCAGGTAGCTCTAGGATAAGAGCAACACTTCTTTGCATCATTTGAGGATTTGGCCCAGTGTATTTGAGGTGACGGAACAAGGGAAATGAGTGCTGGGCTGTTACGAGGGGAAGAGAAATGGGAAAGTAACAAAGCTCTATTGCCTTGGACTCCAAAAACCTCGATTCTGTTCCTGAGTCTGCCACTGATCTTGGGCAAGTCACTTCTCTTCTTTGTGCCTCAATTTCCCACCAATATCTCCATTTGCTTCTTTAGACTGCAAGCTTTCTTGCATGACCATCAATCTACCCTACAGTGTTCATATAGTGATGTGGGGATGGGGGGGTAACGTTCCCTGCTTTGCAGATGGAGGTCCCATCTGTTCGATACAGCATGGCACAGCACTTGTGGCAGGAGAGCAGAGATGCTGAGTAGAGAACAGAGTCATTTTGGGCAGTGCAGCAGCCCCCCAACCACCTCCCACCTCATCCTGGCGCTGTTGCTCTGGGGTCACTCAGATGCAGAGCGAGACAGAACCGGCCTGTCAGAGTTTGGAATAAACACAGGTCATGGTATCGCCCCTATCCCTCTGCTTCTCAGTGGGATTAATGTCATTTTGTGTCTTGAGGGGGCTCAGGTGGGTTTTCCCACCCACCCCACCACCCCTTTGCACAACCAGAGTTCAGGGGGAAATTTCTTCAGAGCATTGGAGCTGACTTCTCTTAATCAAAGCTGTCCCCTCTCCAGTGCAATGGATACAGGCCTCCTCTGGCATCTCTGTTGTGCAGTTGCGCTATGGGGCTGGCGAACCCTATCATGGAGACAAATCCATTGACACCACATGGAGTGGGATGGGAGATGGACCGGCTGATATTAGGGGGATTTCCAGCTATGATACCATCTGGCCATTTGCTTTTGTCCTAGCACTGCAATTTTAATAAGGCTCCTAGAGTTTCCTCTAATCACTATTAATTCCTGGCCCTCCCCTGCTGAGCATCTTACTTTGGATCCTGAAAGAAGGGGCAGAAAGCTGACATGATAATTAACCTCTGTGGATGTGCTATGCCCAGCCCAGACACAGTACCCCATGGGGTGCAATGGCCATTGGGATTAATTAAAATGTTGGCATTGCTAACGAGTCCCCAGGATGGTCCGTGTCACTGCGCCGGGCGCCAGGTTCAGGAGTGACTCTGGGTTTGCATCAGCTGACTTCTGCATGTCCTTGTCATGAACACAACACTGCACTGGACAGTTGTAATTTGCATTCTCTCTCTTCTTATCATGGGTAAGGTGGTAGGACCTACAGTCTGGGCCTGAGACGTGGGCCCCTTTGTGCCACACCCAGCACAAAGCCATAGAAAGAGACAGCCCCCCCCTTGAATGTCATACACATGTACTAGCTGAGAGAGACAAAAGTTTTAATTCTCCTCTGAAGTACACTGAGGTACAACGTGATCTAGTGAGTTATTCATGGTCAGCCAGAGAGCGTCCTACCCAGCCTGTAGGGGAACCCAGATCTCCTGCATCCCAGGACTTTGTCTTAACCACAGAATAATGGCTGGCAAATTACTCCCATGGGCCTATTTAAACATAGCTGTGTGGAGTTGATACAGTTCTTAGTTACCAATACACTAGCCTGCAGCTCTTCAGGCTTCTCCCTCTAAGGTCGCCCAGTGCCACTGGCTGGGAGGTCAGGGGAGGTTTCCCATTGCCCATCAGAAGCTACTGTGGTTTTTAAATTCTGGGCCAGGCATTAGTATTTCTGTAGCATGGCCGGCCAGGAGGCCCAGGTGCAAAGGGGGCTGCACCCACACAGCCAGAGACAGCCCCTGCCCCAAAGAATAATTGTGAGCACCATATCTCAGGTTTCCATTGTCCATCTCTCTTCCTGCCTCACCCTTGTGACTCCTGGAAAGAAAGGACTCACCTTCTGCCTCCCCCACACCCCTGGTACCTTCACTGACTTCATGCCTCACTGAACGCTCACCCAACCCAACTGCCCCACCTCAATCCCCACCTCAATTCTGTGACCTTTCCCCTAGTACTAACCATGGGTAACACCAGGGTCCCCCTCCCTGGCCCTGGGACATCCACTCTCCCCCTCACCCCACCCTGGAATAGCCCCACCCAGCCCCTCCCTGTCCGGCTCCAGGTAAGGGAGCACAAACACTGTGCATTGGCGTGCACAGCCTGCCTGTGCCTGTGAGAACAAGGAGCCATGGCTGTGCTGATGGGAGAGGAGATGTTCCCTGGGGCGCCCTGGCTCTGGGAAGGTGTCTGTCTGATGAGGGAGAACCCGTAGGACATGCATTTCCATGGCAATGCCAGGGCCCAAAGACCTAGTGCGAGCCTGGGGTGGGCCAAGGAGGGCTCTCGAATCATGCTTCTGGCCGGGCAAGGCTCCATCTGGCACGCTGGGTCCCATCTGGTGTTCACAGTCCCAGACAGGCGCTGACATAGGGCTGAGGGCTCAGAGATCAAGCAGGAGAATGACGGAAGGATCAGCCCCAGCGGTGATGTGACTCCGGCCATTTCAATGGCGTTCCACCAGCAGAGGCACAGCCGTCCTGTCTAAAGGACGATTTGGAACAGCCACCCCACACCCCGCACTTTGGGGGGGCTCCATGGCAGCCCCCTCAGCTATCCCATGGACTGGACCTGTGGGGCCCAGCGTGGCCCAGGAGATGACCTGGAGGGGGCTGCCTGGGACTGGCAATGGAGTTGGGGCCCCCTGCACTCACCACAGCAACAAGGAGATGGGCTGCGGGGCGCAGCGGGGTGTCTGTGGGGTTACTGTGGCTCCCACAACAGTGGTGGGGGTGGAGGAGACCGACACTTCATAACGCTTCACACCCAGCCCCTCAGGAATCCCCTGGCTCGTGTCACTAAGGGGTGGGGGCTTCCAGTAAGGGGGGAAATGGGGTGGGGCAGGGGAATGCCCAAGGCCCAGCATCCCCCAGGAATGGCCCTGGGCAGAGAACAGGGAGTGAGTTTTCTAAAGACAAACACATGAAGTGAGTTCCCAGCTCCTATGGCTTTTGGGTAGGTACAAATCCTTTGTGCCTTTTTAAATTCTCCCCATTTCTCCCAATAGTTTCATTCCCACAAGGCTGCAGGGGAAGGGGAAGACATACTAGTGTGGCTGGGCTGGGCTTAGCCACCTTTCAATTTCTTCAGAGCTGCCTTGACGTCCTTATTCCTCAGCGTGTAGACCAGCGGGTTCATTATCGGGGTGACCACGTCACAAAAGATCTGAATGCGGGTGGCCACCACGGGGCTCATGGAGGGCTGGGTGTAGAGGAGGAAGCAGGGCCCGAAGAAGAAGCACACCACCGTCATGTGCGAGGCACAAGTGGAGAAGGCTTTCCGAGCATGCTCAGCACTGCGCATCTTCACCACGGAGACCGCGATCCTGACATAGGACATGAGGATGAGGGAGAAGCAAGTCAGGGGTATGATGCCAGTGTTGGTGAAGGTCACGGTCTCAACAATGTATGTGTCCGCACAGGCCAACTTGACCACTGGTAATATGTCACAGTAGTAATAGTCCACCACGTTGGACCCACAGTAGGGCAGCGTGAAGGTCAGGCTGGCAAGGATGGTGGCATGAAAGGAGCTGCAGATCCAGCTGCCAGTGGCCAGGAGGGCGCACACCTTGCGGTTCATGATGAGCAAGTAGCGCAGCGGGTGGCAGATGGCCACATACCGGTCATAGGCCATGACTGTGTAAATTAGGCATTCAGTGCTGCTCAGGAAGTGCCAGAAAAAGACCTGGGCCGTGCACCCGCCCACCGAGATGGTTCTACTGTTGGTCAAGAGGTCGGCCAGCAATTTTGGGGTGGTGATAGAAGAGCATCCAAGATCTATGACGGCGAGGTTGCAGAGGAAGAAGTACATGGGGGTGTGCAGGCGGGAGTCAGCGAGGACGGCTGCTAAGATGAGCATGTTGCTCAGGAAGGAGCAGAGTAAGAAGACTAAGAAGCAGATGAAGAGGATGTTCTCAAGACCTTCGGTGCTGGGGATACCTAAGAGGATGAATTCTGACACCACGGTGCGATTCTCCATTTCCATGTAAGGGTTGATGATTCCTGGGGGCACAGAGACAATAAAACTAGATTAGGAAGCTTCATAAACCATGAACCCCACCAGACTTAATCTCGAAAGGCAAATTTTAACCAGCCTAAGTTTGGAGAAAGTGAGTGGAGTTTCACCACTTATATTTGTGGATCTGTTCTCTTCTGTTCATTTCTTAAACTCAGTCATCATTTCATGATCATCAGGGAGCCAAAGAAATATGCCAACATCAGAGGAAATTATCATTTATCAGAACATTCACTTTCCTGACTCCTAGATTCCTTCAAAATGAGCATACAAGGCAGAGAGAACAGCTCCAAAATGCGTCAGCATCATTTCTCCCCTGGGTGTATATATAGAGAAACTGCGCATAAAATGGGGGGAGAGAGACAAAGGTTCAGAGAGCTAAAGGCCAGACAGGTCCATGAAATAATCTAGTACATCACAGGCTGTTAAATTCCAGCCAACACACACACCCGACCTCAGTGATTTCACTTGTACCAAAGCCCTTCAGTACTCAAACAACTCAGTTTAAGTGATCTCAGGCAGAGAGCAGGAGAGATCAAGGATCCATCAGCTGTAAAGGCTGGGAACTGACAGAGGGAGAGACATGGCCTATCCCAGCAGGTGACCAAGCCCCTGCTGCAGCAGCAGGTTGCTACAGATCTGTCCTGGGGGAAGTTCCGTGCGTACATGAAATCTGGTGATCAGATTCACACCAGCCAGAACAGACCTGTTCATGTGAGACTGAGCGGTTCTGTATCAGGTCTGAGTTCCAGGCTGCCCCAACTGGTGGCCAGGTAGAGAGATTGGAGAGAGAGAAGGGGAGAAAGAAACCGTCCCGGAGCCAGAGCGAAGGCAGAAAGGGACAAAGAGGACAGGCCAATAGCTTACGCTTTGTGCCTCAGTGGAGAGTCACACAGTCAGCAGGTGGTGGGAGCCTTTGGCTCTTTCTCCCGTTTGCTCCACTTGCGGACACACAATCAGCCCCCCTCAGCCCAAGCCACCTGAGATCTGAGCACAGCTCCTGCCGTGGGCATGTGGAGAGAGTCTCTCACTGACAGAGCTGACATGCCAGACCTGCATAAGGACTACGCAGCACTGGCCCAGCCATTGTCGGGACCCCAGAAGTGTTCATGAGTTCAGGCTGCAGGAACATTTATGCTGCTCTTGAGCCCGGCCTTTGGGAGCTGAGCCCTTAGGCAGCTCCCTCCCCCTGGCTCAGACTTCAGCAGTGGGAGCAATTAACCAGCCCTTTGCCACAGCTGTTTTCCAGTTTGTGGCTTGGGACAAAGGGCCACATTCATTAGAAGGAGGTGTGAGAAACCCAGCAGGAGGTAACTGTGAAGGGTTGGTTCACAGGAGGCTCCTTGGAATTGTCACCTGTTGTGGTAATGGTCCTACCAACCTCCCTGCTAGGGCACCCTCCCAACCCTGTCTTGCTGTGCCAGAAACTCAGGTTTCCTCCAGACATGGCACAAACTTGAGGTAGCCACTGTGGGAGAAAAATCAAATAACTCCAATTGTGTCTAAAGGGGGGACTGTGCAGGAAATCAAAACTCTCTAAAAGAAAACTGTTGTAAGGGTTAAAAAGTTTTCCAGGCCTCTCTCCCTGTAACAGAGAGAAATCAAATTAACTCTAATCAAGACCCTTACAATGCCTCCTATCTCAAGTTCATGGATACTCCTAGTCTGTCACAATTTGTCATGTAAACCCTTATCTTTGTCACAGTTTGCCTTGTAGACTCCTCCACTCAAGTTCTCATGTGGCTTTGTGTACTGTAAAACTTACTTCTAGCACTCCTGGTGTGAACAGAAACATCTCAGAGTACTTCTGCTGAGACTTTGATATGTTAAAGAAAAACAATCAACAACTGAACTGTCTGAACATACTGTATAAAGAATCCCTGAATCTGTCTCTCAGGGCTGCTTTCACTCTTGGAAGTGACAGCCTGCATGCATGCATCATAAAGTTTTTCCTTCTAGATTTCTCTCCTGCCTCACTGATTTGACCTCCGGCCTCGGACCCTTCTGGGGGCTCTGTACCCCAGGGGAACGAGATTTCCCCCACACCACCCCCTAGCAGAGCAACACAGACTCTGAGGCAGTTCAGCTCTGGACCTCAGCTCTGGACACAGCCCAGGAACACAGCCTTCAAAAGGACCAGACCCCCAAATCAGTCCATCTGAGTCTGTATACAAGTTTTACACAAAGAAACTTGTCAACAAAAGAGAGAGATGCACACTGGTTGATCCCATCAGATAGCAATTATTTACACTTGACTTGATAATGAACACAAGTAAGAGTTCTTACAGGAAAAACAAAACCATTCACAGATCCTTTACTTGATCACCCAGCCATTAAGTTACTAAAGTATCACTAATGGCTTTTACTGGAACACCTGGACAAATAAAACTGGTTCTTATTTAATATTTCTAAGTTCTCATTGAAGGAAAATACAAGCAGAAAAATAGGCTAGAGACAGTCAGCAGGTTGTAACTGTAAAATGATCTGTTTGTTGTCTAAAGAACCTTCAATTTATGTACATGCATCTTCATGCCAATTTCCAAAAAGTATGGGAGAGTTGTGACAGCAGCCATAGCATGAACAGCTCTCAGGGGAAGTAACCTCTGATCCCCATCAGCGGCAGATTGCTGAACCCTGTGGCAGGAGAATTTTCCTACCTTGCATTGCTCAAGGAATGTGAAAGTGAAGCATTATTTCTATGCAGGCACCTCTAGTGGTTTGGGTTGGTAACACAGGGCCAAAGGAGGAGAACAAGGTGTGTCTGGGAGTGTCAGAGTGGTCTAAGGGAGTTAGGCACTGCTGTCCTGTTGGAGTTAGGTGCCTCGCTCCCTTTGGCATCTCTGATATTCCCTGCCTAGAAGATCTTCTAAAAGTCTCCCAACCCCAAAAGGTTCTGGGCATCCATCGAGCGGATCACAGATTCAGCAGTTGCCCGTGTCCAGGGGCGTTCATGGAAGTACAGGTGTGTATTTATGGGAACATCAATGGGCCAGACCCTTAGCTGGTGTAGAGTGGTCTAGTCCCATTGGAGTCAATGGAGCTGAGCCCCAGCAGAGGTAAATCCATCCTTGCCCCCTGGCAGTCGGGGGAGGAGGCAGCTCCCAGCCAAGGGGGCTCAGCACAGCCAGTGCGGGGAAGGCCGTGGTGCTGTGAGAAGGGTAACAGGAAGCCAGGCTGTGGGTTTTTGTGCAGCTGGCCCCCGGGTTCCCCTTGTTGTGTCTCTCACGGTGCAGTAGTAGGTGTCGGCCTCGCTCAGCCTCGCTCTGTTGCGTATGAGGGTGGTGGAGGGGGAGGCCGTGTCCATGACCATGGTGAACTCTCCAGTGGCAGAAGCACCATCATACCCTGTCCCTAGGAAGCTCCGGGCCCCCTGGCCCTGCTGGGGCTATTGGTCCCTATACATCAACTCGTTGGAGGTGGTGTTTTGGCTGCAAGGGATCAGGATCCGTTCTCCTTCCACGAGTGTGATGTGGGGCAGGTGGAACACCTGGACCAGGGCCCATTTTGGAGCCGCTGCAGGGAGAGAGGCAGAAAGTGAGTGAGGGAGAACCTGTCACCACCTGGAAAACACAATGTTCAAAGCCGCCTGCGACTCCCACTGACCAAGGATGCACAGAAGGGCTGAGAGCATCCTCTTGGTGGGATGAAACCTTTATCCACCTCCCACAGCCTGCAGGGTCCAACCTCTATCTGTCTCCACACCCAGACCTCCTGCTTCCCTTTCCTCCCTCTGTGCATCTCTGTCAGTCGCTCTCTGTCTCTGACACCTGCCAACCAGCCCCTTTGTCACAAGCATCCAACATCCTGTTGCACACCTGTGAAAACCACTGCCATACAACACAGACAGGACACAGGCCCACACTACACAGGCAGTGCACAAACACCCAAAAAGCCTTCACATGGACACACAGCGATTTTCCACAGTCGTCACTAGGCAGAGGTGCTTAATGACTTTGTTTCAGCATTCACCAAGAAGATTGAGTTTCTCAGGATGCCTAACACAGTAAGTGCTGTGGAGTGGGCTGAGAAGTAAAACTGAGAAAAGGATAAGTTAAAGTTACTTAGGAAAGTTAGGGTATGTCTACACTAGCTCCTTAATTCGAGCTAGGTAGGCAAATGAGGCAACCGGAGTTGCAAAGGAAGCCTGGGATTTAAATATCCCGGGCTTTATTTGCATGTTCCTGTCCGGTCACCATTTTGAAATTTCACTAGCCACGAGGAGTAACAGTTAATTCGAACTAAGGACTTAGATCGAATTAACGTTTCACTGCTGCGTGTAGCCGTGGCCAATTGACCTTAGCTGGGAATTTGTCCACTGACTCCATCAGAATGGCCAGACAGGGTCAGACTAAAGGTCCATCCAGCCCAGTGTCCTGTCTGCCGAGAGTGGCCAATGCCAGGTGCCCCGCTGGCACTGTGGACTATTGGTGCTAGTCAGGGCTCTGTCCCTTTCAAACTAGCAACTGCGTAGATAAAAAATAAACTGCTGTCCTTTGATTCACATTCTCGGCCTTTTTCAAAAAACAGGTGAACATTTTGGACCAGATTCTGTGTTGGTTTGCACCCGCCGAGCCCCATTGATTCTCAAGGAGTGAGACTAATATACACCACCTGCCCAAAGATTTTGAGCGCAAGAACATTCTTCCAAAAAAAAGAGGAAGTGGCTAAATTAAATGCCCCACTGAGGTCATTTACTATAAGTCTGCTTGCCAACATTTGTGGAGGGTTAAATAATGTTGATAGACAATATTGCAACTTATTTAAAGCATTTTTACTATTTTCATGTATTTAAACTCTTACAGTTGCACATACAATCCATACTGTGGGAAGAGACCTCGGGAGGTCATTGAATCCAACCCCCTGATAAAAGCAAGACCATTCCCAACTGAAAGTGTAGGATTTAGGCATTTTTTCAACTTTTATCAGTTTAGACGTTCACAAGTTACTAGATATTATGGAGGACTCAGGCAACCCAGGAGGCAGACATTAATTTAGTCAAAAGAGAAATGAAGATTCAAAAAGTTAATGTGTTATAACTATTCAAATACATTGTCAACATCAGAAGTCAAAATATACAAAGAATAAATGCTTAAAAGAAACGCTAAGAAGATCTTCAGCATCACTGTTATTACTTAGACTAGCCTGTACTTTTCACTTACTATCAATGGAAATATTTTTCATTTGTTTCTGTGTGTGGTCAAAAAGACATTGGCATACATGTATCAGTAAAAATCTAATCCATCCTCACCTAATTAAAAGCCATACTTTACTTAATGCTGGGTGAATAAAAGATTTTTTGCTTAGTTGCAAAGTTCCCAAAGTAAAAAAAAAATCATGCAAAACAACATTTTCAGTGATTCAGAAAGGGAAAAGAAATTCATTTGGGGCTAAACCAAACATTTTGTTTTGACAATAGAAACATTGCATTTCCATTTTAAAAATAAATATGTGAAAATGATTGAAAAGTGAAATGGAAGGACATTTAGAAAGATGCATCAGTTCCATTTTTTTCACAGCATTTCTAATGAACAATTTGGAAAAATCAGCACACGTCCACAAAATATTTTCACGTCCTCAAATCTGCATTCTTCACTAATATCAATTAAGCCCAAAAGTTCATGCACATTTAGTTGCATTAGTCTGCAGTCGGTTGGGAACATCAGTCTATTGATTAGTATTTTATATAGATTAAAGGATGGGGACGAATTTTTGCATTTTAATTTAGTAGGTCTGAAACTTCATAAAAAATCCTTTTTTGTAGCCTGTGTAACACAAAGCCACAGTAAGATACTAGGAATGAGGACAAGATTTTGAATAAGATTGTACATTTATAGGTATAATGAACCAGAAAGAGTTACATTTGCGATGAGTGTTGAAACAAGTTATATGTAAGGCATTACTAGTTTAGCCATAAGAGAGGGTGGTGGTTAAGCACCGGTGAATGACTAAAGCATTGTCACTCAATTGCCAATGTAGAAAAACCCTAAAAAACAGGTTTAATGAAAATGTTGCTCTTAAGATTCCTGGGCCAGATTTTTAAAGGTAAAGATAGTGACCAGGGTATTTTTCACTTGGTGCCTATCTCCCATTGGAAATGATAGGTATAAGGTTCAAAGATGGTTTTGAAGAGCTCAATAGGCTCCTGAAGTGCCTAAACCCTATCGCATTCTGGCTCAAACAGCTGCAAATGTCCCATTCGCGTTTCAGCACCATGGACAGAGACCCCTCTTCTTCCCATTCCTGTAACTTCTACTAAAATATAGAATCATAGAATCCTAGAATGGGAAAGGACCTCGAAAGGTCACCAAGTCCAGTCCCCTGCCCTCACAGCAGAACCAAGAACCATCTGACAGGTGTCTCTGTAACCTACTCTTAAATATCTCCAATGATGGCAATTCCACAACTGCCCTTGGCTATTTATTCCAGTGTTTAACCACCCTGACAGACAGGAAGTTTTTCTAATATCCAACCTAAACCTCCCTTGCTTCAATTTATAAATCGGCACCTTCACACGCCCATATACTTCTTCCTCACCAACCTCTCCTTCATTGACGTGTGCCACGCCTTGGTCACTGCACCCAAGATACTGTTTGACTTCCTTTCCATAAAGAAGATCATTACCTTTGGGGTTTGCTTGGTACAGATGACCTTCCTCCACCCTTTTACCTGCGTAGAGGTCTTCGTCCTCACCATCATGGCCTATGACCGCTATCTGACCATCTGCAACCCTATGCACTACCTCACCATCATGAACCACAAGGTCTGCTTGCTGCTGGCTGGTGTGGATGGCTGGGCAGGACCATGCACTCCATAGCTCTGACCTGCATGACCATCAATCTACCCTACTGTGGGTCCCGGGAGATAGACAATTTCTTCTGCAACTTGCCGCCGGTCATCAGGCTGGCCTGCACCGACACCTACATCATCGAAGCACTCATCATCACCAACTCGGGGCTCATCTCCATGATCTGCTTCGTGGTGCCGGTAGGTTCCTACAGCATCATTCTGGTCTCCTGGCAAAACCGCTTCTCCGAGAGGCGGTGCAAACCCCTTTCCACCTGCATCGCCCACCTGACCGTGGTGACGCATTTTCTGGGTCACTGCATCTTCACCTACTCCCGCCCTTCCATCCGCTTCCCCGAGGACAAGGTGGTGTCGGTGTTCTTCACGGCCATCACCCCCTTGCTCAACCCCATCATCTACTCCCTCAGGAACGAGAACATGAAGCGGGCGCTCAGTAATCTCCTGGGGAGAAAGGTGGATGCCGAGGAGAAATAGAACCCAGAGTTCAAGAAGAGATGTGTCCTCAGAGATGCTCCCAGATTCCCAGCACTATCCGCAATGGGGCTGCATGTGTCGGTAGTGACAATGGTTTTTCCTTGGTCCTTGGCTCTCATCTCTCTATAAGACTCATCACCTGGGCTTTGCATCCACTCAGCTGGGACTAATTGACATTATTTTCAGGCATGAACTTATTCTGTAAAATACGTGTCCAAATTGGGCTTTGTCAGGGCTTTTTCAAAGTTTCAATTGACTGATTGATTGGTTTCTTTTCCTACTCTTCTAGTTTTCTTTTCCTACTCTGATTTGCCTTTTTCCTTCCTCCCTCTCCCTGGGGGCAGTAGAAAGGCAGGTGACTCCAATATGTCACTATTCCTTATTTTAATGGACAATTTCTAAGTGAAATGGAAAGGTCTTTTGTCCTGAACTTTGCAGCTAGAAGGTGCCATATTTCTAAGGTGTTTAGATGCCTAGGGAAGCACATACATGCTCAGTGCAATTTCCTAAAGAACTCAGGCACATTACTCTTGATGATTTCAAGGAACCCACTTACCTCTCTGTCGCTTTCAATGCCTAAACTCCCTTACAAATACAGGCCACGCAGGGGCTGGACATGTTCCTTCACAGGCAGAAAATCTTCTTTAGAGGCAACGCATGCTGGAACAGCCTGCATAGAGGAATATGTCCATCTCTGTATGCCTGATGAATAGATCTATGTACCCTCGTACAGCCCCTCTATTGAGCTAGCTATCCCTATACACCTTATCTAGCTAACTATGTATAAATCTCTCTATCCCCATACAACCCCTCCATCCATCTATCCACACACACACACTCTATCTTACTGACTATCCCCATACACTCCCTTCTATCTGTCTACCCACCACTGTACACCGTATCTGCCATATATTGGCATTAGAAAGGCTCAGAAAAGGGCAACAAAAATGACCAGGGGTTTGGAATGGCTGCCATATGAACAGAGATAAGTAAGACTGGGACGTTTCACCTTAGAAAAGAAGAAATGCAGGAGGGATATAATCGAGGTCTAAGAAACCATTACTGCTGTGAAGAAAGGAAATAAAGAAAAGTTATTATTCTCATAATATAAGGACTAGGAGGTCACCAAATGAAATGAATAGGCAGCAGGTTTAAAACAAACAAAAGGAAGTTTTTCTTCACTCAGCGCACATTTAACCTGCAGGACTCCTTGCCAGAGGATGTTGTGAAGACCAGGACTTTAAAATGGGTCAAAAAAGAAGTAGATGAATTCATGGAGGATGGGTTCATCGATGGCTGTTCGCCAGGATGGGCAGGGTTGGTGTCTCTAGTCTCTGTTTGTCAGACGCTGGGAATGGGTGACAGGGGAGGGATCAGGTGATGATTCCCTGCTCTGTTCACTCCCTCTGGGGCATTTGGAATGGCCACTGCCAGAAGACAGGACTGGGCTAGACAGACCTTTGGTCTGACCCGGTGTGGTCACCCTGATGTGCTCCTCTATCTATCCATACCCATACAAACTCTCTCCTGTTTTTAGTGCTGTTCTGACCATGTGCAACCCACAATATTACAGGCACAAGGCGGATGACGTAAGGTCCTTTATTGGGCCATTGTATGTGGGCGAAAGAGTCTTGCTTTTCAGCTCACACTGAGCTCTCCCTTGGGCCTGGAAAGACACGTTCTCCCTCGCAAGCCTTCCATTCCCAGTACGTATTGGCCTGTCTGCCCCTCTAACCCATTTCTTCCCCAGAGGGCAGGGCCCAGCAGCACCCCGAGATGGGCTGCGGCGGAAGACAAACAAAACCACCAAACAACAGACCGGCCCCCCTCCCACCTCCCCCCTGTCCTCCAGCCAGCCACCAGGTGCAGGAGAGCCTGACACGCTGTGAGTCTGGGAGAGTGTCTGGAAGAACCTGGACATCTAATGAGTCCCTCGGTGCCCCTGTTGCACATCGCAGATCCCGTAGTCCCCGGCCCAGGACCCCAGGGCAGGCTGTGCTGAGGCTGACAGAAGAGGTTATATATTTGGAGAAGAACAATAGAGCTCAGAATTGGTGGCAACGCTGAACCAGACAAGGCATTTACCAGGAGCTCCGCTCTCCCCGTAAGTCAGTCTTTATTACTCGGGAGGCGCTCACTGGGGGCATTTGCTGCCAGCTACTCCTGTTTCATACCATATTAGATTCACAGCAGCTGAGGAAGTGGCCTGCTACCTTCCTACTTTTAACCTCGCTAACAGCTGCATTGCTCCACTTTTACACGGTGGGATTGCCCTGAAATTTGTCCTATCTGCACCGAGGACCCTCTGCAGGGTTCCAGTAGGGTCATGTGTAACAAGGGGAAGTGCCATTTATAACCTTGTGCAGGGCTCCAGCTGTGTCTAACAGGCTCAGGTGTAAATGGGAATTAGGCTTAAATAGAATTACACCTGTGTGAAAACGTGCAGCGATGCAGCTGTGGCTCAGACTCTCTATTGCTGATTCTCAGGACAAACATCTTGGGAAAGAAACTGAGCTGCATTGGACCCCGCAGGGTAGTGGCCCATTAACACCCGTTGCCGAGCTGGCTGCATTGACTTTAACGGTGCCGTGGCCAATTGACCTTAGCTGGGAATTTGTCCACTGACTCCATCAGAATGGCCAGGCTGGGTCAGACTAAAGGTCCATCCACCCCAGTGTCCTGTGGACTATTGGTGCTAGTCAGGGCTCTGTCCCTTTCAAACTAGCAACTGCGTAGATAAAAAATAAACTGCTGTCCTTTGATTCACATTCTCGGCCTTTTTCAAAAAAATGGTGAACATTTTGGACCAGATTCTGTGTTAGTTTGCACCTGCCGAGCCCCATTGACTCTCAAGGAGTAACACTAATATACAGCAGCTGCCCAAAGATTCTGAGCGCAAGAACATTCTTTTAAAAACAAGAGGAAGTGGCTAGATTAAATGCCCCACTGAGGTCATTTACTACAAGTCGGCTTGCCAACATTTGTGAAGAGTTAAATAATTCTGATAGACAATATTGCAATTTATTTAAAGCATTTTTACTTTTTTTATTAATTTAAACTCTCACAGTTGCACATACAATCCGTAGGGTGGGAAGAGACCTTGGGAGGTCATTGAATCCAACCTCCTGATAAAAGCAAGACTATTTCCAACTGAAAGTGTGGGATTTAGGCATTTTTTCAACTTTGATCAGTTTACTGTTCAGAAGTTACTAGACATTATGGAGGGCTTAGGCAACCCGGGGGGCAGGCTATAATTCAGTCAAAGGAGAAATCAAGATTAAAAAAGTTAATTTGTTATAACTGTTCAAATACACTGTCAACATCAGAAGTCAAAGTATACAAAGGAAATATGCTTAAATGAAATGCTAAGAAGATCTCAAGCATCATTGTCTGTTTTGGGACCAGCTCTGTTCAATATCTTCATCAACGATTTAGTTTGCAGACGATACCAAGTTCACACATACAGAATGGGAAGCGACTATCTAGGAAGGAATACGGCAGAAAAGGATCTAGAGATCATAGTGGACCACAAGCTAAATATGAGTCAACAATGTGATGCTGTTGCAAAAAAAGCAAACATGATTCTGGGATGCATTAACAGGTGTGTTGTGAGCAAGACACAAGAAGTCATTCTTCTGCTCTACTCTGCACTGGTTAGGCCTCAGTTAGAGTATTGTGTCCAGTTCTGGGCACCGCATTTCAAGAAGGATGTGGAGAAATTCGAGAAGGTCCAGAGAAGAGCATCAAGAATGATTAAAGGTCTAGAGAACATGACATATGAAGGAAGGCTGAAAGAACTGGGTTTGTTTAGTCTGAAAAAGAGAAGATTGGGGGGGGACATGACAGCCGTTTTCAGGTATCTAAAAGGGTGTCATAAGGAGGAAGGAGGAAGCTTGTTCATCTTGGCCTCTGAGGATAGAACAAGAAGCAATGGGCTTCAACTGCAGCAAGGGAGGTTTAGGTTGGACATTAGGAAAAAGTTCCTAACTGTCAGGGTAGTTAAACACTGGAATAAATTGCCCAGGGAGGTTGTGGAATCCCCATCTATGGAGATATTTAAGAGTAGGTGAGATAAATGTCTATCAGGGATGGTCTAGACAGTACTTGGTCCTGCCATGAGGGCAGGGGCCTGGACTCACTGACCTCTCGTCGTCCCTTCCAGTCCTAGTATTCTAAGATTCTATTATTGTTCTTACTTTGCCTAGCCTGTACTTTTCAATTATTATCAATAAAAATATTTTTCATTTGTTTGTGTATGTGGTCAAATAGATATTGGCCAACAATTATCAGTAAAAATCCAATCCTCCCACACCTAATGAGAAGGCATGCCTTATTTAATGGTGGGTGAATAAGAGATTTTTTGCTTAGTTGCAAATTTTCCAAATTAAAAAAAAATCATACAAAACAAAATTTTCAGGAACTCAAAAAGTGAAAAGAAATTCATTTCGGGCAAAACCAAATATTTTGTTTTGACACAACTGAAACACTGCATTTCAATTTAAAAATGAATATGTGAAAATGATTGAAAAGCGAAATGGAATGACGTTTGGAAATATCCAATGTTAGGTATAAGGTGCTTATGTGGTTTGAAGAGCTCAATAGGCATCTATTTGTTTTCTGAAGTGCCTAAACCTCGGTCACATAGAGATGCAAATAGCCCATTCCCAGTTCAGCACCATGGATAGAGACCCCTCTCCTTCCCATTCCTGTGACTTCTACTAAAATAAAGAATCATAGAATGGGAAGGTCATCAAGTCCAATCCTCTACCCTCATGGCAGGACCAAGCACCATCTAGATAATCTCTGACAGGTGTGTCTGTAACCTACTCTAAAATATCTCCAGCGATGGCAATTCTACAACTGCCCTTGGCTATTTATTCCAGCGTTTAACCACCCTGACAGGTAGAAAGTTTTTCCTAATGTCCAACCTAAACCCCCCTGGTTCAATTTAAGCTCATTGCTTCTTGTCCTATCCTCAGAGGTCAAGCAGAACAACTTTTCTCCCTCCTCCTTATAATACCCCTTTAGGTACTTGAAAGCAGTTATAGGAGCCATGATATTCTATAAAGGGCAGACTTTCAAAAGCAGTGGACATGGGATCAGGTGTACTAAGGTGCCAAAAATGCAGACACCCACTAATGTCCACCCAACAGGATTTGCGTGCCTTTGAAAAATCTCCCCCAAAGTGATCCGCTCTTGTGGGGATGGGATTGATAGATAGAGACTGTGGAGGGGAGAAGTAGCAGGCAGGCAGGCAGGCAGGCAACACTTGTTTGCATCGTTTGAGGATTTGGCCCAGTGTGCTTGAGGTGACGGAACAAGGGAAACGAGCGCTGGGCTGTTACGAGGGGAAGAGAGATGGGAAAGTAACAAGGCTCTATTGTTTGGGACTCAGAAAATTTGGATTCTGTTCCTGATTCTGCAACTGAACTTGTGCAAGCCACTTCCCTTCGCTGTGCCTCCGTTTCCCACCACTACCATCAGTTGCTTATTTAGACCTTTTCATGGCAGGCACTACCTTTCCCAGTATCTCAGCACTGCCTGGCACTAAGGGTCCGCCAGGGGCTACTCTAGCCGTAGCAGCCGTGAAGACCTGGCTAACGAATGGTTTCATCTCTGCTCTCTATTTGCAGAGACTGAATAACTTCTCTCTCCCTTTCTTGACCAAATGGAAAAATCTAATATACTTCCATGCTGGATTGACCTAAAATGGATTTTTTCCAAGTTTTCCCCATTGAAACAAAACCATTTCATTTCAGGATGAACTAAGCATTTGGTTCAATCCAACATGACTTTTTGGCTTTGTTTCATTTTGGCTTTTTGGTTTTGTTTGTTAGCTTAAAGAAATTTAGCTAAATTTCTAAATACACATGGTTCATTTATCAGTTGTCTTCTTCAACAGTAGACAGGCAGTCTCACTGAAGGGGGAGGCTCAAACTATTTCATTGGGTCCTACCCAATTCCTAGAATCATTTTCTCTCCCTTCCAGGAAGAAATATGGGAGAGACGGTCACCCCAAATCACACCATGGCAACTGAGTTCATCCTTCTGGGACTCTCCTCCAACCCACAGACACAACTGATCCTCTTTGTAGTCTTCCTGCCCATCTACCTGCTGACCTTGGCTGGGAACATCCTTATTATAATCACCGTTGTCCACGATCGGCGCCTTCACACACCCATGTACTTCTTCCTCTCCAACCTCTCCTTCATTGACGTGTGCCATGCCTCGGTCACTGTGCCCAAGATGCTGTTTGACTTCCTCGTCACAGTGAAAATCATTACCTTTGGGGGTTGTGTGGTACAGATGTTCTTCCTCCACCTTTTCACCTGCACAGAGATCTTCCTCCTCACCATCATGGCCTATGACCGCTACGTGGCCATCTGCAACCCTATGCACTACCTCACCATCATGAACCACAAGGTCTGCTTGCTGCTGACTGGTGCTGTGTGGCTGGGTGGGACCGTGCACTCCATAGCTCTAACCGGCATGACAATCAATCTGCCCTACTGTGGGTCCCGGGAGATAGACAACTTTTTCTGCGACGTGCCACCGGTCATCAGGCTGGCCTGCACCGACACCTACATCATCGAAGCACTCATCATCGCCAACTCGGGGCTCATCTCCGTGATCTGCTTCGTGGTGCTGGTGGGTTCCTATGGTGTCATTCTGGTCTCCTTGAGGAACCGCTTCTCCGAGAGGCGGCACAAAGCCCCTGCATCGCCCACCTGACCGTGGTGACGCATTTTCTGGGTCACTGCATCTTCACCTACTCCCGCCCTTCCATCAGCTTCCCCGAGGACAAGGTGGTGTCGGTGTTCTTCACGGCCATCACCCCCTTGCTCAACCCCATCATCTACTCCCTCAGGAACGAGGACATGAAGAGGGCGCTCAGCAAGCTCCTGGGGAGAAAAGTGGATGCCGAGGAGAAATAGAGCCCAGGGCTCCAGAAGGGATGTGTCCTCAGAGATGCTCCCAGATTCCTGGCACCATCCCCAATAGGGTTGCATGGTGACAATGGCTTTTTCCTTGGTCCTTGGCTCTCATCTCTCTACAAGACTCATCACCTGGGCTTTGCATCCACTCAGCTGGGACTAACTGACATTATTTTCAGGCATGAACTTACTCTGTAAAATACGTGTCCAAATCGGGCTTTGTCAGGGCTTTTTCAAAGTTCCAATTGACTGATTGATTGGAAATGTTCAGGAATATGAAAGCCTCAATTTTGTTTCCATGTTTAAAAGTTTATTTTTTCAATTTCAGTTTTTAAATAGGGAGCTCTAGTTTTCTTTTCCTACTCTGATTTGCCTTTTTCCTTCCTCCCTCTCCCTGGGGGCAGTAGAAAAGCAGGTGACTCCAATATGTCACTATTCCTTATTTTAATGGACAATTTCTAAGTGAAATGGAAAGGTCTTTTTTCCTGAACTTTGCAGCTAGAAGGTGCCATATTTCTAAGGTGTTTAGATGCCTAGGGAAGCACATACATGCTCAGTGCAATTTCCTAAAGAACTCGGGCACATAACTCTTGATGATTTCAAGGAATCTACGTACCTCTCTCTCCCTTTCAATGCCTAAACCCCCTAACGAATACAGGCCACAGAGCCTAAAACAGGGGTGGGCAAATACTGAGCACTGATTGTGTACGGTTTGCCAGGGTTAGTCGCTAGTGGGCCCACACACTGTGTATTTACCTGCACCTCTGTAGTTATGGGGCATCATAGCTCCCATTGGCCACGGATCGCTGTTCCCAGCCAATAGGCACTGCAATCACCTGTACCTGCAGAGAGGCAGGTAAATATAGCAGCAGTGGCCCACCAGGGACTAACCATGGTGAACTGCCACCAATTTATTGCCCACACCTGGCCTGAAAGCTACAGCTGGTCAAAATTGTATCAGTCTTTACATCAAATATTGGTTTTTATCCCAGTATCAATCAAAAACTATCTATATTTTCATGTTGACATTAATGTACATTTTCCCTCTTGTATCATTTTTGGCCTTTTTATAGAGGGTGCAAAGGTAAAAACCAGAGAAAAAGTGTGGGAAGGTTTCCCTTATTTATTTACTTCTTTCCCACTTTGAATAAAAAAATGGGGGCAGAGAAAGAAAAGCCTTTCTTGCCTCTTTTACTTTGTCCTATTTTTGGCTCTGAACGCACTAAAATGAAAGATGTACTAAGTTTTGCAGGAGATTTTTGCTTTGTTTTTCTCTTTGCCTTTACCTTTCCCCTTTTCAAAACGTCTCAGCTTTGGAAAAGCAAGAGAGTAGTGAAGGGAGCAAATGAAAGAACAAAGAATGGGGGAAGTGCTACCCTGGATACTTTTCATTTTATCACATTGATCTTTCCATTTTGAGCCCTGCAAAACAGAAACAACTTCAACATTTTTGCTTCTTCATTTTCCAACTAGTTTTCCCCTCTGGAAATACTAATTACAACATTTCTGATTTGTATTTTGTAAAAGGCAATTAAATGTATTTTAAAGAATCATATGACATGAATCTAGCCTCTTCTGTGTATTGTATTATAAAAATTTCAATTTAAAAAAAAAGATGCAAGAGGAACTGTGGCTTGATGGGTAAAGATATAAATAAACAAACAGACAGACAGAAATACTTCTGTGCGTTTCTAATCCTGCCAAATAAGTGACTGAAGCAGTGGTGACCAGGTCTGTGCTGGTGGATACTCTTGCCTAGTGGATAGTGCAATGAACTGGGACTTAGAAGACTTGGGTTTTCTTTCTGGCTCCACCACTGGCCTGCTTGGTGACCTTGGGCAAGTCACTTAGTCTCACCATGCCTCAGTTTCCCCATATTTAAAACAAATAAAAAATTCTCAGGAGCAATGAGATATTGTTGTTGTTATTATTATAAGGACGCTGTAGAAAAAGGTTTTCATGCTGCAGCACAGATTCACCCGAATCCAGTTTTACACCACGACTGAAATGACCGAGTTGCCACTAGAGCAAAGCTGAATTACCCACTATCCCGAGGCCCCATGGAGCTCAAAGCGACAAATTCTTCTCTCGGTTACCCCAGTGTAAGTCTGGAGCAACTCCACTGCCTCTCTGCTAAAGCACTGGTGTGTATGCTACTGCAACTCAGTTATGGGCCATGTTCTGCTCAGGTAACGCCACCCAAATAACTTGCAACACAACCCAAAGGCAGAAGTGTACATGAGAAATGAGGGCAAGGGAGGTGTAAGGCCTAAAGGCCATTTCACACACACTTTCCTGGACTCTAATCCTCACGTGGCGTAAATCCATGTTGCTTCATTAACCCCATTGAAGCTATTGCCGATTGACATGACAAGGGATGTGTCTCAAGGACACCAATACAATTCTCCTGACTCTCAGTAGTTGTGCAGATATCTTTAGGTCTCCAAGCCTAGTGGCAGCTGTTAAAACTCCCACACAGAGTTTGTACCTTCAAACACTTCAGACATCTTAACAACTCCCCTTGCAACTCATCTGCGTGCCAGGCAACACCAAGTCCCTGGAGCACAAAACTTTTCTTAGGCATCCGGCATAACGTGATGTCACTATCCAATGAACTTACAACAGTGCAAAGGGTTATATAGTGAGGGGTAGAGAAAAATGCCCTGCAAGGGCTCTAGAGCTCTGGAGCTAGACCTCATGGTAAAATTCCCCTAGAAATCCTTCTTTAATATAAAACTGAGCATTAGTGACTAGGAAGAGCAACGCGGAACGTGCCCCAGAGTCACAGCGTTCGGAGGACATGGACTGAGACGTTGTAGCGTTAGGTTCCTATTTGCACTGCAGAGTGTTGGAAAACTAATCAAGAGAATCTGGCTTTGTTGTTTTTTTTAACGCTTCTGCTGGCTGGTTAAGTCACCTGCTGTCTCTTTAGTCCAGAACCCTAAAACCAGGAGCAACACTCACCAGCGAATTTGATATCATAGGCTGCAAACCAGAAACTGCCCATCAAATACAAATTGCAATCCGCTTCGCTAAACCCATCAGAGCCTGGCACCAAGCGCATTTCTGCTGCCCCTAGACAGAAAAGCCCCAAATTCCACGTTTTATGTTATGGAGGCAAAGTACTAGGAGTTAGCCCAGAGTCAGCTATTGCTCAGAGAACCCGGAGCTGTGGGACCTTCAGCAAGAGTAAGTCGTGAGGAGTTTTCATTCAATTTGCTTTTTCTTAAAAAAAAAAGTTCTATGTCTATTTTGGTTTGGCTGGTTGGAGGGTTATTTAAGTCATAAACAGTAAAAGCTTGGCTAGAGTGGGGTTGCACATTAATAACAGCGTATAGATGTGGTCACCTCATCTGAAAAAAGATATATTGGCACTGGACTAGGTTCTGAAAAGGGCAACAGAAAATGACGGGTTTGGAATGGGTCCCATATGAAGAGAGATTAAAAAGACTTGGACTTTTCAGCTTAGAAAAGAGGAGACAGGATAGAGGTCTATAAAATCATGACTGGTGTGGAAAAAGTGAATAAGGAAAAGTTATTTACTTAATCCCACAATATAAGAACTAGGGGTCACCAAATGAAATTAATAGGCAGCAGGTTTAAAACAAACAAAAGAAAGTTTTTCTTCACTCAGCGCACAGCCAACCTGTGGAACTCCTTGCCAGAAGATGAGATGAAGGCTAGGATTTTAACATGGTTCTAAAAGGAGCTAGCTAGATTCATGGAGGTTAGGTTCATCAATGGCTATTAGCCAGGTTGGGTAGGAATGTGTCCCTAGCCTCTGTTTGTCTGGGAATGGATGACATCTGGGACATCCGACATTGGCCACTGTCTGCAGACAGGATACTGGGCTAGATGGACCTTTGGCCTGACCCAGTATGGCCGTTCTTATGTTCACTGGTAAATTTTATCCAATCATAGCAATTTGGGTTGGAAGGGACCTCAAGGTCACCCCTCACACGGAGACAGGACCAACAAGAAACATCCCTGTAGGTGTTTGTCCAGCCTATTCTTGAAAGCCTCGGAAGATGGGAATTAACATACCAACAGCTATAGTGGGTCAGTCCAAAGCTTCGTCTTGCCCAGTATCCTGTCTTCCAAGAGTGGCCAATGCCAGCTGGGTCAGAGGGCAATTCAGTGATCCATCCCCCGTCATCCAGACCCATCAACCAGCAGTCAGAGGTTTAGGGTTTGTGTCCCTTACCATCTTGGCTGAGAACCCCTGGTGGATCTGTCCTCCATGAATATCGCTAGCTCTCTTTTGAACCCACTTATACTTCTGGCCTTCACAACATCCCCTGGCAAGGAGTTCCACAGGTTGACTGTGCTTTGTGTGAAGAAATACTTCCTTATGTTTGTTTTTAATCTGCTACCTATTAATTTCATTGGCCATGGGTGGGGCCATGTATTATGTGATGGGGTAAAGAAAACTTCCTTATTCACTTTCTCCACACCAGTCATGATTTTATAGTCTTCTATCTTATCCCCTAAGTCATCTCTTATGTCCCAGTCTTACTAATCTCTCCTCATACAGAAGCTGTTCTATAACCACCATAAATATTTTGTTCATCTACTCTTCATCTTTTCCAATTCTATCTTTAAGGATGGGGTGACCAGAACAGCATACAGTATTCTTGGTGTGGGTGTACTATGGATTTATATACAGACAATATGATTTTTTCTGTTTTAATGTCAATCCCTAAGATCATAAGAATGGCCAGACTGGGTCAGACTAAAGATCCCTCCAGTCCTGTCGGCCCACAGTGGCCAATGCCAGGTGCCCCAGAGGGAGTGAGCAGAACCGGGAATCCTCAGGTGATTCCTTTCCTGTTGCCTATTGACAGCCTCTAACAAACATGCGAAATGTTACATGGCTTTTCCTGTAGCTCTTCCCTTGTACATCTTCTCAACCGCTCTCCTGTCGCTTGCGTTTTTTTCACATCTTTCCCATCGCATGCTCTATGCATACACTGAGCAGAGATCTCTTGCTGCTTGCATTT